GGACAAGGCGGGATCCTGTGTTGGGTTCTAGTCACGCGTCACACGGGGTGACAGGAATCGTCTGGTGAGCACGAAACGTTACGCCAGTTGCCACAATGATACACAACGACGGGTAAGAAGTCTTCCGTCCACGAGAAGTAAGAGCTGAAAGGGCCTTATAATGTGCTCGCATAAGATGTTTAGCTTTTTAGGATTTTGTTATCAATTAGTCAATGTAGAATTGGAATGTCTACTGTCTTTTGTTTGTAATTGAGAATATTTCTGGACACGCAGTATAATGTATTTGAAAGTTTTCTATTGTCAATACTATAAGATTATTGATTCGCAAAGTCACTATCGTCTTCTCTAGCGTGAATTACATCACTGACAATGGATCTGAGAACGACAATCTTTTCTTTTATCTCCGCGTTGTCATGATCACGTTAGACCTGGTCGAATGATAGCCGTGCTACGGCGAGTCACAGTCTTTCTGAAAACTTCTTAGCTTGTATCAATCCGATGAGCTATTAACTTGTATTGTTTTCGATGTTCTGCTGCAGTTGCAATTGCAATTTGCCCTCGAGACCTCCGGACAATTTGGAATTGGACCCTCTATGCACGCGCGGTATCATACGGCCATTTCCCTCATCGGGGTGGCAGTTCACAGGGTCTAGTATCTAGAAGTCCCTCTATATATAACTTCAATAATGTAATCTTCAGTGTTCATGGTATGCTTGTACATCGAGCTTACCAAGATGCCTTGGTCGTCTGGCGCGAATGACCTTGGTTGAAACGGCAGCGTCAAGCGGTATTGGATATTGCGTAAATTCATTGACTGAGACCTTCATGTGCTTCCTTTTCTTTTCATTGCCTCCTTTTGTGCTTTTGCAACAGCATCCGATGCATAGAACTCGGCGTCCTTGGAAACAGCCGAACCATCCACTTCGTTGTTGTCTTCTTTAGGATGCGGAAATCCTGGTCTGTTTTTGGCGACTTTCGCGAGCAAATCCGAAGCGTAGAATGAATCTCCAGCAGAGTCTTCTGGTTCTCCGATCAGAGACCCCCCCAATCGAACTTGGTCTTTTTCCTGGTTCAGAGACCTCACGTCTCGTCGACCCGGGATCGCACCATCCTGGACCTAAAGTAAGCTTTGAGAGAAAATGGCAGCAGCTTCTGACATTGCATGATGTGACATTGCATGATGTCGAACAGAGCGACTCACTTTCGGAATTTCTCTGCTGCCTTTGAAGAATGAGAAAGCCAGGACACAGGCAAGGGCAAATATTAAGATCGTGCAGCCCCGTGAGCGACGCGCGCGGGACACAGCGTAACTTGACCCTGATGACTGCGCGCGACCGTTCTCTTTCATCGTCGATGCTTTCGATAGAATCAATTGTTGATCGTTGAGGAGAGATAGGGAAAAGATATGCTGCGCCGCAACATTGGGCTGCGCCCGCTTAAGACATAGATGTCGCTGGCAGTGTCGAGAAGACCTTAGAGCAGGGCGCACGCAGATCTGGGTCTTGCTCCGAGAAGATTCAACGAAAGAAGAAAGCTGCGCGAGGAACCCCGTTATGAGGGGTTGGTGGTTGCCGCCCGTTGCTCAGGTTCTGGCTTTGGATAGGCGCCAAGCTCGGCTCTCACAGGATATTGTCCCAACCTGCTACCAACAACAAATTGCGGTCGCGTGCCCATAGGCTGTTGAAGATGGCGCTATGCCGAGTTCTTCTTGAAGCGGAGTCTCTTTGTCTCTTTCTGGACTTTCAGACCAGGGCCCTTGCCTTGTCACTTGAGAACCAACAGCGGTTTTCCAATGGGTCCCGGAAGAGTTGACCTGGTTGCCGTGAAGACAAAAGTGTGTTGGAACTGTTAACGCCTGCATTAAGATGAGCGACCTTCCCGGCCAGTTGATGGTGTGGTATTGCAGGACGCCATGTCTCTCCCGCTCATTTTGCATGCATCCTGAAGCCGCGATATTCTTTCTTAACATATTTTCTCTGCTCTCTTCTCCCCCCAAAGCCCATGATCCCGGATTCGTGATGGCCACAACACCCACCGTGGTCACGGCCAACGGTCGGCACACTGTGTACTCCCCGCTGCCGACCCCCTGGCCGATGAACTCCGATTGTGCTTCGAGAACGTATCGCCAATCTGACGAAGGCCCAATTCTCGCATGGGATCCGTACTTTGGAATGAACATAGACTCAGGAGCAGCGACATGTTTTCCAGAGGCGGTGACTTCCTGGTGGTTTCAGACCGTGAGCCAGGCGACATCCATTGCCTTGGGTCCGACGTTCGAGTGCCCCCAACTGTACACGGCTGCGCAAACACTACTGGAAGCTGGAGGGGTACAGCACGTTTTCTGCTGTCCGTCGTACGTGCACAACTACCGATTCTCTTGAGAGAAATGCGGCTGATGTCCCGAGGCAGAGATTATTCGTTCAACGTGCCGCAACCGAATAGACCTGTTTTCCCGTCTCAGTGTCTGTCGATGGCTACACCTGGACAAACGATTACGTACGAATCCCTTACAATAGGAACAAACGGCGCGATAGCCAAAAGGACTACAAGTGTAGTCAGTTCGGCTGAAGTCACTATCTGGGCAGTACCAGTCAACGGATACAACTTCCCAGCGAGTTCGACGAGCGTAAGCAATACAGGCGCGACTGTATCCCCAACTGCGACGGCAACTTCAGAGATACCAGGCTCTACGACCACAGAACAAGTAAGAGGAGCAACAGGGGGAAGTAATCAATCATCCGGACGGCCTCTTTCCACGACGGTAGGGGCCTCAGTTGGTGCTGTGGTTGCTGTGCTTGTTCTTGTTGGTGGCGTATTCATGTGGTGGAGGCGGCGAGGGAGATCGAGGACTGTCAACGAGTTAGAAGGACAGCCGTATGTGGAACCTCCATCATCCTACGGTCGGAAATTCGAGCTACCAGCGGAAGTGATTCCGGAACACAAACATGAGCTATCCAGCGACGGTATTAACATACAGAGAACTATCCACGAGATGCCGGCGAACCGTGAGAAAGGTTAAACAACAACAACCTATTAGCCAGAAACCATATTTGAGTGTTTGATGTCCAAAGAATTAATCAGAAAGTTTTCTTGAGTAGCCTGATCAGAAGTCAAGTGATCGAAACTGCGTTTCCGAGCGTCCTAATAGGCCGATTCGTGGCGGAAAAAGATCTCGTCTCATTTGGTGCACTAGGCGAGAAGGGACCTTTTACCCAAGTGCAAAAATAAAAACTTCGATGCGTAAATCAGATGGCCAAACAATCAAAGAGAGCATACATGTTTTTAGGCACAGAAATAAGCTTAATTAGACGATTGGCATGACCAGGTAGCACTTACCCACTTGGCGAGAAAGTCATTCTTGCAGTACTATAATTTGAGGTAATGAACATGGCAACCGCCGTCAGTCCATTCTGCGGCCCCAAATAGCGAGATATGCTTGTCTATTAACCACTAGGCCAGGTAGCGTGTCAATTGTCTGGGTATCCCAACTTTGAGATGACGCAAAAAAGTTTGAGCCCACAATTCTTCCTAAATGTCACCTAACGGATGAAGCCGTTAGGGAGCTTGATGACTGCAGTATCCAACAGCTGCTTTCGTCGACACTGAGGAAGCTCAAGTGGCTGGAAATTAGCGCCGGGACAGGAGCTATGTCTCGGACGTTTTGTACCAGTGGGAGAATGTCTCGGCTGTCACCACCTTAGAGCCAATTCCATAACCACTAAACACTGATTACGTGGACAGAGGATGACGAATCCTTCCCAGATGAAAACGGCAAATCAAAACAAACCTCGAGATGCGTGATACTGGCTGACGAGATGAGTCTGCTGCTGCGAAAAGATGCCAGGAGCCTGGATCAACCTTGGGATGGAATGTCCCGTCAATCGCGATATCTTGGTCTGGCCTGAAATATCCTCAGACTGGCCTGCAAACCCCACAACGTTCAAATCGCTCGTGGGTCGCACTGAGCAAGGGGTGAGGCTGCCGGTCAAAATAGTGCCTGGGCAGTCCCTTGGCATTTCTACGTCATCGGACTGCACGTTGGGACTTTTGGTGCTCCAAATGTTGGTGAAAGATATGGGTGCTGTTCCGGTGCTTTCTGACGGCGCAAAGCCAATTGCGTGTTGTCTCCACCGCGCGAAATGCCGGTATGACTCGTTGACGGAAACGGCCAGGCCCAAGGTCCAGAGCCACGAAGCCTTGATAGGAACATTCCGGAGAACCGCACTACTCTTTGGCATTCAAGGATGGTTATGCTGATCCGTGTGTCAGTTTCTCTAGCTCGACTATATGGAAGCGCCGAGCGCCTGAAACTCAAATGTGTTCGTTCAATAGCTGTCTCATTCAGCCGCTGGCGTCGAGAAGGCACATAAGCCTACCACGTTCCTGGAACGTTTATCTTCAGCACACACCTTTACTTCTGCTGCCAAGTAATTTGTCTGTTCTCCTTGTTTTCTTTGACAAATTTTTTCTTGCGATACATCTACAATGCCTCTTCTCAAGGCGCAATGGGTGCCTCTGAAGATCGCGATATTTGTTGCGGTGTCACTCATCGTATCCGCATGGTGGATTTTGCCACACCGGGCATGGGTAGTGAGTATTTCAAGATCAAGCAATATTACGCACCGTTTAGATCGGCAGTTAACAAAGAACCTTTCCAGCCCTTGGCAGCTGAGCCTGCACAATATGGAGTTTCAGATCCAGTACTTTCAGCGCCAATTGATATAATTGCGGAAGACACACCGTTGTCAGACGACGATCAAGAGCCAATATTTTCAAGCCCAGTCGATATAGACTTAGAAAACACATCACTTCCAGAAGACGACATTGAGCCCGAAATCTCAGCATCAGTCAATACGACCGCAGGGGATAGACCGCTCGTTGTGTACGCCTATTCTGAGTCTGACAACGCCCGAGCAAACCTGAGGTTCTTCATTACAAAGGGGCTTCACAATGCGGCCGACTTCGTGTTCATATTCAACGGAGATTCAGGGGCGGCGAGAATGGTTCCTCGCAAGCCTAACGTCACGGTTGTGAAGCGGGACAACACATGCTTCGACTTGGGTGCCATTGGAGAAGTCCTTCGAAAGAATAATCTGTGGAAGAGGTACAAGCGCTTTATCACGATGAATGCAAGCATTAGGGGCCCTTTCTTGCCCTGGTGGAGCAAATCATGCTGGACGGACTTATATCTTGGCAAAATCACAGAGACAACGAAGGTAAGCACTTATGATGCTCATTCTCTTTCCTAGCCACAACTTACTAAAAGGGCGATGCTAATAGCTGGTTGGTATGACGGTGAATTGCCAACCCAGAATGCATGTCCAGTCCATGATCCTCGCAACAGATGATGTGGGCATGGGTATTCTACTCGACCCTGCCTTCGCGCTTTCTGCATCACAAGATGATGAGTTCGGTTCAAGAGAAAACCCGGTTGGGCTTAGCGGGTGTTATGGAGACTGGAACGCCGCTGTCCATGCTGAAATCGGGACGACAGGTCTTATTATGAAATCTGGCTACAAAGTCGATGCAATGATGACAGCTGCACATACAGTCATTGGTGGAGTCGAGGCGTACTGTGAAGCTACACAAGCTGGAGATGTTCTATTTGACAAGGAGTACTTTGGAATGAATGTCCATCCCTACGAGACAGTTTTCATCAAGGCGAACCGAGATGTCGACCCATGGGTGTTGGATTCTATGACGGAGTGGCATTTGAAAATGAATACCCGCAGTTCCGATGGTTGCGGGATATGAGTATATTCGGAGGATGCACCGGATCGGAAGACACATTGTCAAATAGGATAAGGACGGTGCACCTGAACATCATGTAGACTGGAAAGTATTGGATTATCGAGCGTTACTAAGCCAATCTGTATTTCTCGCCAAAACATACGATTGTTTGAGTCCCTTGACCTGACCAAATATATCTCGCTGCCAAAATTTGTCAAAATGTATGGTTCCGGATGAAGTGACTCACTCAAATGGATCTGAAAATTATAGGGGAATTTCTTCCTTGCGTCTCTTCATAAAGATCCTGAAAGTCGGGTCAACCTCCTCTGCGAAACCAAATTTCCGGATGTTGTGCTCGGTCCCGTCTTCTAGGCGCATGTCGTACTTCAGAAGAAGATGAGAAATAATGACTTTGGCCTCGCTGGCGGCGAAGAAACGACCGGGGCATCCATGTTCGCCATGCCCGAACCCAAGATGGTTCACACTTGTGGTCACCAGCTGACTCGCTGCTCCTTGCTCAGTAGCGCGCATGCGGAAAAAGCGGTAGCCGTCGAAAACATCCGGGTTCTCGTAGACACTCGGATCTCGCATTCGATCGGTCGAAACAGCGACTTTGTGGCCCTTTGGGACCTTGGTGCCGTCGGAGAGAGTAATGTTGACCAATGCTTGCCGGAACATGGAAGCTAGAATAGTGGTCAGTTGGTGTCAAGCTGACCTGGTCTTGAGCGGAGGACTTACCGATCTGATTCGGCTTTAGGCGTTGGCTTTCGTTGAGGACACTGTCAAGGAGCTTCATGTTGTACAATGAAGTCTTCTTCCAGCCACCTTCTGAGATAGCAGACACGATCTCCTCTCGCAAGGGCTGTATCAGCTCGGGATGACGAAGGATATCAATCAAGGTCTGCGTGATCAGATCAGAGGTAGTTCCAATCGACACCACAGCAAGCATCAACTGCGATGCACCAAAGTTGTATCGATCCCCACCTGCCAACTCCTCGAACCAGTGAATGGCGTCTTCGTGCTTCGCTTCGCCGCCCTTGGCGTGCCGCGCCTGGATCTCAGCAGCTACAAGATCCCATGCTTCCTTGACTTGAGCTTGCAGGTTCTTGCACTCAGGGATGAACTTCACAGCCAGAGGCTTCAGAATCGTGGGCCAAAGCCGAAGCTTCCGCATCCCCTGAATGCTGTTGTCTCCGTAATTGACGATCAAATCCAACCATCGCTCATTGTTGCTAAGGTTCGGACCCGCGAAAATGCGACCAGACATTTTGGAAATGAGGCGAATGATGAGGTTTCCAAGAGCGACAGGCTGCCATTCTAGAGAAAAGTGTTAGCATGTTTGCTCAGTTGGAGGTGGTTTGGTAATGCCTAAAATACCTTCGCTATCGCCAAGAGATGCGTGAAGTGTCGAAGCACATTCTTCGGAGAGCGGCTGCGTGATCTTGGCTAAAACAAACCCTGATATGAGCGATATTTCTATCAAAGATTTGCGGTAGGCTGCTCACCCAGAGACTTTGTCATCTTGAATTTGACCACGTTCTGGAGTGGTTTCGTTGGCAAAGCCCCCTCCATGAAGGGTTCAAAGCCGGCGTAATGGGCTTGAAATAACTGCGCCACGTGTGAAGTCAGAACATGTTGAAGTTCTCCCGTCCAAAATGTACCAAGTCCCTTGAAGCAAAACGCACCTCAATGATGGGCTCATCAATGCCGAACCTGGGATCATTGCGAATTTCTTCGCCATGCTCGGGGCGCAGAATGATAAAGGTTCCCATATCAGTGTGAACGCGGAAAGGCACGGGTCCAAATTTCGCTCGAGCTGATGCAAGAAGCTCCCGCCCAGCTATGGCAAATTCGAAGACCGAACGAGAAGCCGTGAGTTCATAGAACTTCTTGGGATTGATGATCGGAAGCTTGCTTGCGCCATTGAAAAGAAAGAAGGAAGGAATTGTCACAATAAGAGTGATGGCTAAGAGGGCAGCCAATAATGACGTGTTGTCGCCATCATAGATCGATGGCTGACCCCAAATGGTAGAGGTATTATGCAGGTGGTCCATCGCTTGTATGTTGCTTGTTTTGCAGTAGATCGAAGTTGCGAGTTTGGAGCCATGATAGCATGAGGAACTGTTTGGGTTTAAATCAGAAACTAACAAAGACAGAAACTCATAAACTCGTCTGTCTCCATGAACTGCCGTCTTTCCAGAAACACTATGCTCAAGGTTGTGAGGCGGACATTCGCACCCTGCCAAGAATGGACTGACGGAGACGGACTTTCAGAATGGATCGTAGCGTATGTATCCATGCAGTGTATATGCAAGCGATTGGCTGGCGTCGTCAATGACTTAGCATCAAGTCATCTAAGGACCAATCATGGTGCCAGGGTTTCTAACAACATGACATAGGGGGGAGACACGATACTCCACAAACCGGTGGGATAGCGTCCGACGAGAAGTAGCCGGCCTTCACCAGAGTCCGTCCCACGACAGCCAAGTGCTTTATGTCCGAGAGAAAGTATTCTAGGAAGTGTATTGAAGCAGAGTTGAGAAGTCTTTAGTTCATCTCTGCACTGGTTATTGCCAACAATCGGCCTCATCTCGGACCCGACCTGATGATGTCGGCAGACCTTGATATCTAGAAAAGCATCTACCCACTCTATTCCTTCCATTTTTCAATCACAAATTGAGCTAGGTCCACCGAAAGTTTAAAAAGGAGAAGACCAAGGCCCTGGTGTCTCTGATGAGACGTCGCGAGCGATGCTAGCGACCAGCGCAGACCACCAGCAATGATCTCATGAGGTGACACTGGACCGAGGTGATGACAGTCGTATTGGGTAATCTAAAAAACAGACTCATGAAGAACTTTGTAATGACTGAAATGATTGAGTAGCCACACTGAAACAACACTGGCAGTCATGTTCGCCATGATTGATTTCCTTGTGCTCATCAACGAAGGAAGCAGGAGAGCTTTAAAGAACAGACCAGCCCAGTCAAGGCGCCTTATTCGCACCTAGAGAAAAGGAATGAACTTTCGACTCTGAATATTTTGAAGTTGAAGGATAAAACCATACCTTTCTTAGCCCCAGGACCTCCACGGCACCCGGTGATCTTGTTGCATCCACGGCTCGGATTAGGATTCGGACCAGAACCACCGCCTCCCGGTCTGCAGTTTTCGTAACTAGCACCACGTCGGCTACAAGGTGTACTGCCCTTCTTGAGGGCAGGATTCCCGATGTTCTTGTTCTGCGGGGACGCAAGGGGAACGGCGGTGATCATCAGGGCCGAGGTGGCGATGATGGTAAAGACGGCGAACTTCATGCTGAAATGGTTCCGCAGACGAGGATGTAAAGCAGATTGAAGTGACGTGAAAAAAGAGATATCTAGCTTGGTCGATGTATTGAATACTGTGAAGTCAAATAATTCATCCTCTGAAATTGGCGCGGCAGCCGTCCTTCTTATAGGCGACAAAGACACAAGAGAAACATCTGTTCAGCTACTTCAATCTGCAATTTTCGAAGAGCATGCTCTTCCGAGTCGAGTACCATTACCTCGAGGTATATTGACTCGTTGAAAGACTGCGAAATCGCGAAGGTCTCGGGTCTCGTTGCTTGCAAGTTGCCCCAATATATTAAAACGGTGACGCGAATAACAAACGCGTCACTTCAGAAGAACCGACAGGCACAGAGTGGAAAAGAAGAAGTCCGGTCATTCATACGAGTGTCTCGGAGACCTGATGCACCAATAGTATAGAAGATAGCCCTGTAGGGCTCACATGATGACCTGCTCACTTTGCGGCGTGTCAGAAGCATCCCGTTTGGCCAAGGCTGTGGTGTATAGTAATAGCTGTCGACTTTTGAAGGCAACTAACACATCGTAAACGGAGAAGAGAGTTTGAACTTTGTTAATCAGTGACCACATGCAGAACAATGCCCAGAATAATTCCGGATTTGAAGACCCGGCGGAGTTCCATGGCCATCTCAGAAGATGTGATGCGCAACATACCATTGCGGACGGACCCTTCCGATTGACATCTCAACTCTTCATTATGAGAAGCAGTATCAGTATATAAAGAGTCAATACAGCAGAGGTCGGCTTTCAAGTTCGTCTTCAAGCACCGTCTGCGTACACGATTTTTGTTAGTTTTGATGTACAACACCATGTCTTACGACGCACAAGATGGAGTTCCATCGCCTTGGATGTAAGTTCATCAGAAAACAAGGCTAGGTTGAGTCGACGAATGTTTGTGAATTTATCGGAAGGACTCTCTCGGCTCTCTAGATAGGTATGTGTATGTGTTTCTCGACCTTGCAGGGCGTTCTCCGAGAGGCTCGTGCGACGTCCTAGCATACGAGCATCGCGGACTAGTAAGTTTCCCGGGATTCTCATCTGTCATTTCGTCCCGAACTTTGATCTCGTTTCGTTCTTGGTGTTCATCCAAGCTTCTCATCGTGTTGCCGGTAGCCGGCCTGAGAAAATAAGCTTCCTCGATCGTACGATGAAGTACCAGAATATTGAGACCGACTCGGAATGAATTTAATTGACAGGCGCTTATCGAGAGATATAATGCATTCTATGCGGTTCATGAATTACTTTAAACGCTTATAAGTCGATTGCTTGGTTTATCATGTTAGACTGGATGCGTGGAAAAGTCTGCGACACAGGTTCGGCCATGCTTCCGCTACTGGCGACTGAGGCTCGCCCTACTTTTAACGGGCATTATATCTCGGGATGGATACAAAAGATCTAACCTTGTAGATGCAGCCAAGGAAGAAAACCCGATGAAGGACCCCTTTATGTAAAGATTCCGACATAGACGCTCCATCCTAAGTTCAGACCGCTGGGAGCGTTTGGACTCATGGAATGTCCTGGCATGGCCGTTTCGAACCCCTTTCAAGGAGATCCGTAGAGCTTTGTTGTCCAATCACATTTCAGTAAAGTATCTCTTTCAAGGGTCTTTATCGTCCGGTGACCATCTGAAGGGAGGTCGGCGACCTTCTAGAAGTCTGTCATAACTTTATTGGGGAGAAACATAGCTTCAAACGGCTGCATATTGCCCCACTGGGCTTCTAGAACACCATTAAAACTATCAGAACCCCACTCACAAGGGACCCGATCACTCTCGGACATCAAACAACATCGCCCGGGCGGGCACATTCGTAGTACCACGACTCAGCCTGGCAGCTAACGAAGCCAAATACTTTGAGCGCCGTTGATCCGATACACACATCACATGCTTGTCGATGACCACAACGTATCGAGATTCTAACAAACAGGAGGTACTACTGGACTCATTTTCAAGTGAGACGAGATGCTACTCTTAGAGAAATGGTTTAGTGAGTGAGGGCATGTTAGGTGGGGATGACTGGGTTGATGTTGTAAGTATGGATACCGATATCATAGTGATCAGATGTGGTTTAGATATTTGCTAGACCTCAGATACCCCAGTACGTTGTTGCTCTCCCCAATGAAGGCTCAGGATGGTTGTGTGGGTTTTCCTGGTTCCATCCGCCCTTTGGTTGTCTGCTCTATTACCAATTCTTGACTTCCATGCTCTGTCCAGTTGTCCATTTCATGATCTGTTGTGTGACTTGATAATGGATGCATGTCCTCCATCACTTGCCGTTCAGAGGTTCTCGTACCAAACGCACTCTTCCTTTGGTCTCCACCGCGCTTGTAAGGCCCGCTAGAGCCTCCTGCAGTCATGATACCCAAGTCACTTCCTGTGGCCGGTTTACTTTGTTGAACATTGCCATGCAGTGCCAAATTGAGTATTGGTTTCAAAGACGGCAGACACGCTAGGGGGAGTAAGCATCCGGATGGTTATTAGAACGGGGGTCATGAAATTGACATACCGGAGACAGTGCCAATGTTGACTTCGATGCCAGTCCACATCATCTCTTCGATTAGTAACCACGTAGTGTCAGGGTCGGCAAAGTCAATTGCAAGTACATAGTGCAGCCGGATGAACGACACTGCAGTGACGCTGTGGATGCAAAGTTTGGTATCAGCAGTAGCACGAAAATGAATGCGCGAGTTCTAGCCACAACTCTAAGATGCAGAACCTACAATATGCCAAGAGTAAAGATTCCCACCAGAGCCACTTTTTGGGGTTTGCGAAGTTGCAAACTCCAAATGCCTGGTACTGGCAGTAGCAGGAGGAGAACGTCGGTAATTATGTTTGGTATTGCGTTCGCGATGAAGAATGTCTTGACGTTGACGCCGCATTCATAATCAGACGGTGAGAGATTGGCATTCGCGTCGAATCGGAGCCAGA